CCCTCCCCGTCTTCCTCCACCCTCAGCCTTTCTTTCTTTTGTTAGTCTGAATGTTCTCAGCCATCTGCTCCTTAATCCTTGGAGAGGAATAGCCCCAACTGGACACAGCACTGGTCTCTATTTGGGACTGGTCTGAGGGCTCCAGAGGGGCCTGGCTGCCAGCCTCCTCACCCCCATCTCCACCATCCAGCTGATCCTCCTGGTGGCCCAAAGGCCACACACAAAGAGTCAGCAATCGGCAATGCCCACAGAAGCCCAATGGACTACCTCTCTCTGCCCCCACCCCACTGCTCCCCACTGTGCACCCCAAATGGGAAGGACACAATCCAAATAAACTCAAGTTTTATGCTCTACTCTGTGTGTGTCTGAGTGTGTGTACATCTGTCCCAAAGCATGTGCTCCACCAATGGGGGGAGGGGGGAACAGCCACAACCTCCAGGTGCCTCATTTTCCTACCAACAGCAGTGTTGGGAAGCTCTGAAAAGCCACCCCCTTCTCCACCATCCTGGCTGGGAACCAGAAAGTCCCTGCCCACTCCCTTAGACTCCTTGTCCCCACCCTCCTCCCTCCCTCCCTCACTCCCACACACACACACACACATACACACAACCCACTGTCCCCTCCGCCTCTGGTCTCCCCTCCTGGATGTTCCTGCACATCACCCTGGGGGTTAGAGGGTTCTTGGAATCCTGCCCCCCTGAGTGGGAAAGTAGCCCAGCCAGGTCTGGGAAGGCAAGAGGACCTCATACCAGGAGAATTCTGGTGCTCAAGATGGCTGGGCCACTTCTCCCTGTCCAGGCCAGGTACTCTGTGCCAAGCAGGGATTCCAAGGAAGGGGAGTGCACAGATCCTGGCCTAGAAAGCCAGAATGATTTGGTGAGGGTCCCTTTTCACTCTGTCTCTCAAAAAGCATTGGGCACCTTCTGTATGCCAGGTCTATTCTAGGCAGTAGGGACACAGAGGTGAAGTCCAATGGTGCCCTGCTCTCAGAGAACTGACTTTTTGGAATGAGGAAACAGAGAGACAATAAATAAGCAAGAAAAATCAGATCAGGAATAGGGTGATGCACCTGACTAGGCCACTCTCTCACACTGGGGTAGGAGTCTTAAAACATAATAATGTGCCAATGATAGGTGATTGCCTTAGAGAGGGTGGCCAAGGCAGACCTCTCAAAAAAAAACATCTCACTTGAGATTTGAATGACAAAGAGCCAGCTATGTGAAATCAAAAGGAAAAACATGCTGGCAGAGGGAACAGCACTTGCAAAGACCCAGGGTGTAACAAGTTTTGTTCCTGGGTTTCCCAGATACCCAGGCTTTGGCACCTAGGTTTCACCCCCAGCAAGTTTATGTGGGAACTTGTCCACACTTTGCTTCAGTTGAACAGCAAGCTCCTATCCTAGCCCCGGCCCAGGACTCACCCTCTATACCTTTACAGGCCCCTCATTTCCTGCAGCCCATATAGGTGGGTTATCCTGGGACAATAGCACTCTGATCTGGAAGGACCTTGTACCTTGTAGAAGACTGTGGTGTGCAGATAACAATCAAGTACCAAATCTGCTGGTGCAGTGGCTCACGCCTGTAATCCTAGAACTTTGGGAGGCCAAAGCAGGAGGATCACTTGAGCCCAGGAGTTCAAGACAATATACCCAGACTCTGTCACTACAAAAAATAAGAAAATTAACCAAGTATAGTGGCAAGTGCCTGTAGTCCTAACTACTCAGGAAGCTGAGGTGGGAGAATCACGTGAGTCCAGCAGACTGAGGTTGCAGTGAGCTATGATGATGCCACTGTACTCTAGCCTGGGTGACAGTAAGACCCCATCCCAAAAAAAGAAACAAACAAACAAACAAACCAGGCCGGGCACATTGGCTCATGCCTGTAATCCTAGCACTCTGGGAGGCTGAGGCCGGTGGACTGCTCGAGGTCAGGAGTTCAAAACCAGCCTGAGCAACAGGGAGACCCCGTCTCTACTATAAATAGAAAGAAATTAATTGGCCAACTAATATATATAGAAAAATATTAGCCGGGCATGGCGGCTTGTGCCTGTAGTCCCAGCCACTCGGGAGGCTGAGGCAGGAGGATTGCTTGAGCCCAGGAGTTTGAGATTGCTGTGAGCTAGGCTGATGCCATGGCACTCACTCTAGCCTGGGCAACAAAGTGAGACTCTGTTCCCCCCCACCAAAACAAAAGAAACCAAATCTACCTGCCTGGGCCTGGTACTCCCATATTTGCTGAGCCCCTCACCACATGTCCTTCTCCTCTGCCCTCCATGGGATCTCACGTAATCACAGGACCCAGCAGCTTATAGCATGACTATTCTCCTCTAAGTTCTCGTCTGCAAAGTGGGCATGGTCATAGTGCCTACTATTGTGAAGATTATTGTGTGCAAAGTGCTGAACCTATGTCTGGCATCTGGAACTCAAAGACATTTGCTTTTTGTATTATTGTAATTATTTTAAAAATACATCTTCTTTCTCATTGGGGGGGTGGGAGATAGGTGGTCCCTATCTTGTTCATTATGTTACCTCCAGTGCTTACCACAAGTGCCTAGAAGGCACTCCATAAATGTCAAGTAAATGAGTGCATAAACGAATGAAATGATTGAGTAAATCTACCAACTCATCTAACACTTATTGAGCACCTCCTTCCTGCCAGGTTCTGTTCAGGGTGCTGAGAATAGAGATGAACAAGGCAGAGTTTGTCCCTGATCTTACGGACAACTTGGGTTTAAAGAGGGAAAACAATATAAGCAGATAAGATAATTCCAGAGGGGAGAGATACTGTGAAAGAAACAAAAAACGAGGTCAGTCCACTAGGGGAGAGTTGACAGTTAACTCCAGCTCGGGTGCTCTGGGAAGGCTTCCCTACAGAGGTGACCTGATTGACAGAGGAGCCAGTCTGATCGGCTGGAGGTGGCCGCGTAGGGTGCAGAGTGGGGAGGCAGGCGGGCGGGCGGGGAGCGAGACGGCGGCAGCGCGCACCAAGCGGAGCAGCGGCCACTAGGCGAGGCACCGCGCAGTGCCCTTGCACACCTGCCGGGACACGTGCGGCCCAGGCCGAGGCTCCGCCTCTCCCCCAGCAGGGGGCGGGGCTGAGAGGGAGCCCGGCCAGAGGCGGAGCGCGCCGCGCCCAGGCCCCGCCCCCGGAGCCTGTGGGCGTGTTCCCACCGGCTGTCGCCAAGGCTACGAGGAGACCAAGGGGCCGCCAAGTTCGGAACACTTGGGCGGCGGCGGCCGTTGCTGGGAAACGCCCGGCGGGCGCGCAGCCAGGGCCTGGCTCGGCACTGCAGACGCCCGACGCCAGAACGCGCCGTCCTGGCCAGCTCTCGCGCGGAGCCTCCCTCCCGGATTCCAGGCGGATGCCGGGTTCCGGTCCTCACCCACGTCTCGGCCTCGCCCGGGACCGACCTGCCCGGCAGGGCGCCTCCTCCCTCTTTGGTCCTCTCCGCTACTGCCTTTGTGTCCGGAATTTGTCCGCCAGTCCCATCTTCACCGCCATCCCCCTGCCTCAGGCAACCATTCAAACCCCTTTCCTGGGGCGAGAGGCACTGCCCTCGCCTCCTCTCTGCCCTGTCTATCCTTACCGTCTGTCCTCCATCAGGCAGCCAGAACTTTTTTTTTTTTTTTTAAGACAGGGTCTCACGCTGTCCACCAGGCTACAGTGCAGTGACATCACCGTAGCAACCTCAAACTCCTGGGCTCAAGTGCTCCTCTTGCTTCAGGCTCTTGAGTAGCTGGGACTACAGGTGCGCACCACCAGGCCCAGATAATTTTTCTATTTCTTGTAGAGACAGGGGTCTCACTATGTTGCTCAGGCCGGTCTCGAACTCTTGACCTCAAGAGATGCTTCCTCCCCCCTTGGCCTCCCAAAGCTGGACCACCCCCCCCCTGCTTTACAGGCCTGAGCCACCACGTCCAGCCTCGCCAGATCTCTTAAGAGTTTACCAGATCAACTCGCTCCTGTATAATACCCTCCATCAGCTTCCCAGCTCACTCAGTCTGAAATCTAAACTCCTCTCAGTGCCCTGTAAGAACAGAATGCCTTGCCTCTCTGCCTTCCTCTCCAACCTGGGTGTTCCCACTCTCTCCTCACCCACGTCCCTCTAGTCACACTGGCTTTCTTGCTCTTCACAGAACGTACCAAGTTAATGCCTGCCTCAGGACCTTTGTACTTGCTGTACCCTCTGCCTGGAAGTCTCTTCTCCCAGATCTTTAGTGGTTGAGCTCCTACTCATTCAAGTCTCATCTCAAATGTCTCTCCAGAAAGGCCTTTCCTGATCCATCCCCATCTAAAGAGAACTTTCTCCAAGCTTTCATGTGCTTTTATGTTTTCCCTAGGACCTATCACAATATATTATCTTGCTCACTTATTTGCTTGTTTATTGTTAGTGTTCTAGATATTACTCCTGCATAGCAAACCACCCCAAACTTAATGGTTTAAACAACAACCATTTTATGATGCTCATAAATTCTGTGGGTCATGATTTTGGACAGAACCCAGTGGGGATGGCTTGTCTCTGTGCCATAATGTCTGGGACCACAGCTGGAATGTCAGCCAGAACATACACATGTGGCCTCTCCCTGTGACCTAGGCTTCCTCACAGCATGGTAGTCTCAAGTTGGACTTTGTGGCTCAGGGCTCCAAAGACATGTGTCCCAAATAACAAGGCAGAAGCTGCATCACCTTTTACAACCTAACCTCAGAAGTCATGAAAAATCATATCTGCTGCATTCTGTTGGTTGCAAATGAGGCATAAGTCTGCCCAGATTAAAAAGAAGGGGTATTAGACATCACCTTTTGGAGGGGAAGAGGCAAAATTCTAGAACATGCATCTACCTTTGGAGAGTGACATCTCCACAATCAGTCTTCCCCCACTGAAATATCATCTCCATGAAGAACCATTTCTCGTTTGTTTTTTGTTGCATCCCGAGTGATTGCAGTGGTGCCAGAGCACATAGTAGGTGTTCAATTCATGTTTTAGAGTAAATAAATGATTACCTTTCAAGGAGTCATTCAAGCCCAGCTCTTCTCCTGGTAAATGTATTTCCTGCCCCAGCCCTTGACTTTGGCCTGGTCTTCTCTATAGGTCTCTCTGGTCTTCTCTATAGTAGGCCCAGTGTCTGTATTGGAAGGTGGAAGTTAATTATAGTGGGTTTTCTTTTGCAGGGGGTGGGGGGTTGGAAGGGAAACAATTGGGGGTTGAATAATATGTAGCCAAATGAGATTCTGAGACAGTTTTCCACTGTAAGAGGTGTTGAAAACTCACTATGCTTTTTGCCATTCTGAAGTCTGGGAATGCCCAGGTGAGGTGTTTTGTCCTCTAGGCCATGGGGAGCAGGAAGGTGGTGCAATGGGGATGGAGCTTTGGGGTGGCACCACCCACCCCAGAAGCAATTGCAGAGATCTGGGCAAGAGGTGGCCCTGAAAGCTGCCCACAAGCCGAAGTTACTCAAGGTTTCCCTTGTTGTGTTATTTGTGAAGGACCTCACATTTGACTTCCCAAAGTCCTGGAGAGCATACAGTTTCTCTGACTGTCTTCCCCTTTTCCAAGAGCATCTGCCATTCACGCCAGCCTGAGAAGACAGCCCGGGCTTCTCCCTGCACTGCCCCCTCACATCAGTGAGCTGCCACCTTCTGCTTCAGCTTCCCAAATCTCTCTTCCCCCTGCCCCTCCCTTCCATCTCCACTCTTCGCTCTCTGAGCTCCAATGTTAACACTATACTGTAGGCCCGGCTTGGTGGCTCATACCTGTAATCCTAGCACTCTGGGAGGCCGAGGTGGGCGGATTTCTTAAGGTCAGGAGTTCGAGACCAGCCTGAGCAAGTGCAAGACCCCGTCTCTACTAAAAATAGAAAGAAATTAATTGGCCAACTAAAAATATATAGAAAAAATTAGCCGGGCATGCCTGTAGTCCCAGCTACTCGGGAGGCTGAGGCAGCAGGATTGCTTGAGCCCAGGAGTTTGAGGTTGCTGTGAGCTAGGCTGATGCCACAGCTCTCTAGCCCAGGCAATGCAGGGAGACTCTGTCTCAAAAAAAAAAAAAAAAAAAAAAACTATACTATAGCAACAGCCTCCTCACTGCTCACACCACCACAGTGCTACCCCAAAACTGTTGTTTCTCCAATCCAGCCCTGCAGTGGCCCTTCACCACCTCCATCTTAAAATCCATGCTCCTTAGGTCATTCAGGGCCTTCCTGTGCAGCTGCTACTGGGTCTATTGCCTCCCCCATATAAATCGTATGTTCTAGGTCCTTTCATGTTCTATCCAGGCTGTGTCACACCACCTTGGTTTCACCCAGGGCCAGCTAACCCATTAGGCACAGTAGGCACAGTGCCTAAGGCCCACTATACTTTTAGGGGCCCATGAAAATGTTTTAACTTATTTTACAAATCAGAAAGGGGAGGAGGACCCTTCAGGTAGAAGAAAATGTTTTAACATGTAACATTAACATCTTTGTCTTTATACCACCGCAGTCGTAAAAAAAAATTAATTTTAAATATTTTTTTATGGGGAAGGAGCCACGAAGGCAAAAATGCCTAGGGCCCACAAAGTATAATGGCGCCCCAGTTTTGCCTCCCACCACCATCTTCCATCCTGCCATTTCTGGAAAGCTTGGTCTTGAAGACTCAGCTCTGAGGTAACCTCTTTGGGGAAGCAAAAGCCATCGGGAGTGTCCTCCTTTGGCCCCTGTCCATTCCTCTTTAATTCCCCCCACCCCCACCTTATGCAGTCTCACAGTTTGGAAAACCCGGTTGTGACTTTTTGGTTTTGTGCATGTCCACCTCACCGGACTGTCAGGACCTCCAAGTCAATAATACCCAGTTGTGTCCACCTTGATACCTGCTCCCACTTGTAGCAGAACTGCCCCGTTAGATGCCCGGCTAACTTTGGAAGAAAACTAGCAGAGGCTGGGCCTGGGGGCCCTCAGGATCCCCCCCTCTGGTCCCAGACCAGGAGTGATGGGGCTGGGGTCTGTCCCGGGGCGCGCAGGTGCGGGCCTGCAGGCCGAGGGGGCGAGCACTTGGTCTCCCGGGCCGCGGCTCGGCCACAAGCCCTTCCAGCTCCACCCGACTTCATCGGAAGAAGGAAGCAGTCCCCTGCGCGCTTCTCTCTCTCCGTCCCCACGGCTCCGCCCCTCCCCCTTCTCCCCTCCCATGTTAGTTTTCTTACGAAAAAGTGCTGCTGAGAATTCCCAGAAGGTCCCGGATGTGAAGTCACCGGCGTGAGGTCACTGAGTCTGGTTCCAGGAATCAGAAACTTGTGGGGGAGAAAGGAAAACGCAGAAAGCCAGGGAGCAGCGAGTGGAGCCTTGGGTGCTGTCGGGGGCGTGGTGCCGGCTAGCTGGGCCGGGTTCCAGGCTCGTCTCCAACCGGGACTTGCCAGGTCTGACCCCAGGAAAGGTTCCCAAGGAAACTGCGTCAATTGAACACAGAGATACCGATCCTTAATAACCAAGATCAAAAAGTCTGATACTACGTGGTGTTGGAGCAGATGGGACAACAGCAGTATTTATCCACTGTTGTCAGGGAGAGAGAACTGGCTGGGTCTGCCAGTTTGGAGAACAACTTGGAAATAGGATCAGAATTTTAAATGAACATACTCTTTGACCTAAAAATCACACACCTAGGGATTTATTCTACTGACAAAAAATATAAGGATAAATGCATAAGGTGGTTTTCATCAGCATTGTTTGAAATACCAAAGATTAGAATGTTCGTCATAGGAAACTAGTTAACAAAATCACATATCTCCCTACTCCAGGATACTATGTGCTGTGATAAAGAATGAGGCAGGCGGCGCACGGTGGCTCACGCCAGTAATCCTAGCACTCTGAGAGGCTGAGGTGGGAGCATCATTTGAGGTCAGGAGTTCAAGACCAGCCTGAGCAAGAGCAAGACCCCATCTCTACTAAAAAAAGGAAGAAATTAATTGGCCAACTAAAATATATATATAGAAAAAATTAACTGGGCATGGGGGCGCATGCCTGTAGTCCCAGCTGCTTGGGAGGCTGAGGCAGGAGGATTGCTTGAGCCCAGGAGTTTGAAGTTGCCCTGAGCTAGGCTGACACCACGGCACTCTAGCCTGGAAAACAGAGTGAGACTCTGTCTCAAAAGAAAAAAAAAGCATGAGGCAGATGATTATGGGCCAGATCTATTTTTTTTTTTTTAAGAGACAATGTCTCACTCTGTTGCCCAAGCTGGAGTGCAGTGGCACAAGCATAGCTCACCTCAACTTCGAACTCAAGCTATCCTGCCTCAGCCTTGAGTAGCTGGGACTACAAGCTTGTTCCACCATGCCTGACCCCCTAATTATGGCCATTTTTTAAAGGTACATATTCATTCAACAAAAATGCATTGTGCACAGCCCATTGCAGACACTGGAAATATAGCAGTGAACAAAACAGATGAAGGCTGTGATTTGTGCAGCTTATGGGAGCTGGGGGGGGGCGTAAACAAATAAAATAAAGCTGGTCGTGCTAAGGGCTGTGGAGCAGAGTCAGATGGAGCAAGGGGTGTAGGAAATGTCAGGGTCGTGCTGTTAGATTGGACTGTCAGGGAAGGCTTCTTGGACAAGTTGATGTTGGAAAAGAGACTAGAATGAGGGGAGAGAACTTCACATACCTGCCTGGTAGAGGGCATAGGCAGTACAAAGGTAGGATTTTACGTGGCACCTGAAGCCCAGCGTCGAGGCCAGGGTGGCTGAAGCACAGCTCAGGGGACAGAATGGTAGGAGGAAGTGGGGGGTGGAGGGAAGAAGGGGGTCAGGTAGGATCTTGTTGGCTTTTGTGGGGGTTTGGCTTTTATAGTCAGATGAGAAGCCTTTGGAGGCTCTTGCACAAAGAAATGACAGGACCTGACTTAGGTTTAGAAAGATCCCTCTGGCTGCTGAGTGGAGACACTACAGAGGGGCAAGCCTGCTACAGTGACCCATGTGAGCGACAGCGGTGGCTGGGCCAGGGTGGTAGGACATATCACACAGTGATCTGCTTCTGGGTGTATTTTCATAGTGGAGCTGATAGAATTTGCTGATAGACCAGATGCGGGTGTAGAAGAAAGCCTCAAGGAGGGACTGCGTAACTGTGAGCATGGGGGATTATCTTTTATCAGGACAGAGCAGACGGTGGGAGGAGATTTTTAGGGGCGGGGGTGAAGAATCAGCAGTCTGAGCTGCTCACATGGGTCAGGAGTTCAGGGGTAATAGAAACCTGAGAGCTGTTTGGAATTTGTGGTAGAGAGGGTCCCAGGGAGAGACAGCTGGCACGCTGGAATGGAGAAATTTGAGGAGGGTTTCATGAAAGGAGTCTTTACAAAAGAGTAAAGGGGTGTAGAAAAACCTCGAGGACAGCGCAGGCCCTGAGGGCTATAAACACTTAGCCATCCATAGCTCTGAAGGTGTGAGAAGAGGGAGTTAGTTACTGGAACCTGGGGACAGAGAGAGCTGAGAGGAGCAGACAACATCTAAACTTGTGTGATTTCACCCAAGGAAGAGGATTTATTTTTCGATCTGTAAGTTTGTACGTGGCCAGCGGACAGGAGCTGAGCTATTGGGAGGAAGAATGGGGCCAGTCCATGGCAACGCTGCAGGGAGAACCTGTATCCTGACCTCACTCTCCTCTCTTCTTCCAAAGTGGGAAGCTGGAAAAAAAGGGAGCCCATTGATGGAGCCCGTGGGGGTCAGTCCCCTGCCCACAGGAGGGAGAAGAAGGATGGCAAGCGGGTCTGGAGCTATGCATGGAGGCCACCTGGCACAGGGGCCTGACGATGACAGGCAAAGCCATAGGCTAGAGCAGGGATCTCTTAGGCAGTGAAGCAGATAGAAAAGGGGACCCAGTCCCTTCCCTGAGGCCCTCCATTATTTAGAGATTGAGAGATAAAATGGAACCAAGAAAGGATAAGCCAAAGGAGCAGTCAGTGAGACAGGAGAACAAAGAGAGCCATGCCTGAGGCTGAAGCAAATATGTCTGGGAGAGAGGGAGGGAGGAAGGGCTGGGACAAAGACTCCAGACAGGTCTAGTAGGATGAGGGGTGTGTGTGTGTATATAATGTACATATTAATAGACTTTTTCTGGAAAGTAACACACAAAAACTATTAATAGTGCCTATAGCAGAGACACCCAGGGGTAAACGGAAGGAAGGAGACTCAACTTTTCATTTTCTTCCATTTTGGATGTTTTTAATCATGTACATGTATAAATTTTAGCAAAGGGAAGAAAATGTGGGTTTTTTTTAAAAGATATTCCCATGGTTGGCCAGGCACGGTGGCTCACGCCTGTAATTCTAGCACTCTGGGAGGCCTAGGCGGGCAGATTGCTCAAGGTCAGGAGTTCAAAACCAGCCTGAGCAAGAGTGAGACCCCCATCTCTACTATAAATAGAAAGAAATTAATTGGCCAACTAATATATAGAGAAAAAAAACTTAGCTGGGCATGGTGGCGCATGCCTGTAGTCCCAGCTACTCGGGAGACTGAGGCAGCAGGATTGCTTGAGGCCAGGAGTTTGAGGTTGCTGTGAGCTAGGCTGATGGCATGGCACTCACTCTAGCCTGGGCAACAAAGCGAGACTCTGTTTCAAAAAAAAAAAAGATATTCCCATGGCAAGAGAGAGATAATTTTATAGAAAAAGCAGAGCCACAGTTTTCTTTAATCGACTGGAAGACAGCCTAGGGTAGCCTTGGGAGTTGAGGAAGAGAGCTGATGGAGTCTGGGAGGGGCAGGGTGGAGAAGGTTGCTCCTGGCAGGATCTCCTCCCTGTGTTGGTCTAGCCAGTAGCTTTAGGAGCAGAGACCTCTGAAGTCTGGTTTCAACTATGTCCTGCTACGTGTGTCATCACCCTTCATGACTTGCCCCCAACTCTGCCAAACCCAAGATTTCAAGAAACCTTAATTCTTTACATTGTCATATATTTTAAAAATTTTTGCATGTCATGCTTTAAGTGTTTTAAATCTTGTATATCAAAAATAAATTCCCTTCCTTAGATGAAACCACACAAGTTGGGATGATGTTGGAAAAAGAGAGATTCCTCATAATTCTCTTTCTGATGAGGCTGTGCCTTAGACAAGGTGTTTCTTTCCTGAAGAGCACAGAAATTTTTGGATGGAAAGGTTTTTTGTGTTGTCTTTTTTCATCCCCCCCACACACCCCAGTTAAGAGTCAGCTCCAAATTTGAAGATATTATCTGGAGGCCGGGTGTGGTGGCTCACGCCTGTAATCCCAGCACTCTGGGAGGCCGAGGCAGGCGGATTGCTCGAGGTCAGGAGTTCGAAACCAGCCTGAGCAAGAGCGAGACCCCGTCTCTACTATAAATAGAAAGAAATTAATTGACCAACTAAAAATATACATACAAAAAATTAGCTAGGCATGGTGGCGCATGCCTGTAGTCCCAGCTACTCAGGAGGTTGAGGCAGCAGGATTGCTTGAGCCCAGGAGATTGAGGTTGCTGTGAGCTAGGCTGATGCCACGGCACTCACTCTAGCCTGGGCAACAAAGTGAGACTCTGTCTCTAAAAAAATAAAATAAATAAAAAAGATATTATTTGGGGATTGTGCTCTGATTCTTATCTGTATTGCAGGTCCCGAGGATAGGGTCCCAGTTAAAGTTTCTAGTAGAATCAGCCTCCCAGGAGCCTCAGGCCAACTTCAGGAGGCATCTCACCAACAGATGGAGGGGTGAGAATGGGGCAGGGGAGTGGTGGGAGGTAGCTTCAGGAACCTATGTGCCCTCCGCTCCTGCGGCGGTGGCTTCCTTGGGCTAGGAGGGGGACCCCCAATCTAAGAGACTTGAGACTTTTCTGACAGGGGTTTCCCAAAAGGGAGGGGCCAGAAGACAGAAGGGAGCTGCGGCCCAAGCCATCTCCCTTCAGGAAGCCTGCCTGTGGCATGCTAAGGTCAGTGTGAGCTCCACTTCCCTTTCTAGCGCCCACTCCCAGAATAACTCCAACTTCTCAATTTAACCTGTGCCTTTGAGTCACCCCGCCTCTGCTAGGATAAAAAGAAAACTCCATGAGAGCAGCTTGTCCGTATTCTTTCTGTTAATGATCAATGACTAGAATAATGTTTGGCACTTAGTTTTCAGTAAATAGGATGAATGAATGCCCAAAATGACTTTTCCACAGCTGAGACTGTATTTCAAAAGGAGAACCCCCTGAGCAGCCCTCACCACCCATACCATCTCCGTCATCTCCTCAGAGCTCTTCCAACCACCTGTTTTTAGAGGACTATACGGTTGGGTTCTAGCAGCCTCCATTCAGTGGTATACTAGAAGCTTGGAGAGCTGATTGTGCACATCTCCTCCCAATTTCACTTACCACACCAGTAGCTTGCAGTCAGCCATGGTGGGAGAATTTACACCATGGAAATTGGAAAGCACTACAAACCATGGCTTCCCCACCACGACCAGAGAACTGGTTGTTACATGTTTACCAGCACACTGCTGCCTCCAGTCCTGTTTCTGCCACTTACGAGCTATATGGTCAGTCAAGTCACTCAATTGCTCTCAGCTTCAGTTCTCCATAAGATGGCGGTCCCATAATATCTACCTAATAAGATTATTTCAAGACCGAGCGAGGTGGCTCACGCCTGTAATCCTAGCACTCTGGGAGGCCAAGGCAGGAGGATCACTCAAGGTCAGGAGTTTGAAACCAGCCTGAGCAAGAGCGAGACCCCATCTCTACTAAA